TGCTGCACTGTCACCCACCCAGCCGAAAACCAAGGCTTCCCCCACAGGCTCTGGAGTCACAGGGAGCCTCGCACACACCATGGCAGCAGTCCTAATGTTCCCACACATGAGGTCTGGACCTTTCTGCCTCCTCGGCAACTTCTACCTCAAAACAGTTTTCATTTTGCTGAACATTCCCCTCCCCCAGAATCATTGTTTTCTATTATAAACTGTTCAGTGGACGCTGGTCATCATTGCTTACACCTTTAATCCCAGCACTGGGAAAGGATACACAGGTGGATTTCCATGAGTTTGAGTCCAGCCTGGTCTACATAGTAAGTACCAGGACAGCCAGGGCTACTTAGAGAGACCTGGCCTCAACAACAACAAAATTTAAGATGTTCAGTGGCATCTTGTTTTATCAGCTGAGTCCATTTTCAGCCGGAAATTTTCTTCTGTGGATCTGACGTCTGTCGAGTCCAGTTCCTCTAAATCAAACTTCACAAATAGAAAACCGATGAGAAAAGTTTGACAGCTAGGCATGACAAACCCGACCCCTGCAATCCCTCTGTAGGCAGAAACAGGAAATTCAAGGTGACCCTGGTCTCCATAGCAAGCTCCAAGCACTGAGTTACTTTGAGAGACTTGATCTCAAGCAAGCAACAGCTTCCTTAGTGCTTCTGTTCGTTTTTAGTGACCCACAAAAATGTGGGATTTTTATTTAGACTCTTTCACTATTGACATTTATTATAAATCATAAAGGAAAACAGCTGGCATTTCTTTTTCCCCTCCTCCTCTTCTTTAAAGCAGGATCCTACTTCACAGTCCTGACTGATTCTCTCACTGTGTACATCAGAGAGCCCTGAATCCGTAAAGGCCTGCCTGTCTCTGTTGGGATTAAAGGTGTGTTGTGTACCACCACACCCAGCTGCATTTTTTTCTTTCCTTCCTTGCTCTTTCTTTTTGAAAAATGATGCATTCATTTTATTTCATGTGTGTTTTGTCTGCATGTATGTACGTGTACCATGTGCATCCTTGGTGCCCAAGAAGGTCAGAAGAAAGCATCCAGTCTCCTGGAACTGGAGTTATGGATGGATGGCTGTAATGAGCCATTGCTCCAGCCCCCTGCATTTCTTTCTTAACTAAGTTACGAGGAAATGGTAAGCTATGTGAGCTCGCTGCCCGCGGGGCCATGCTTCCCTGGGTAGCTGAGTAACTCATTCATTCCTGGCCACTGACTCCGTCCAGGTTCTCAGTGCGCCCTCTGCTGGTGGAGCAAAGAGCGAGTGACAGCAGCAACTGTGTCCGTGCTGGGGGTTGGGTTGGAGCGAGGAGTCCGTCCCCCCTCCTCCATTTTCCCTGTCTCTGTAAGAAACTCTGTCTGGTTCATCATTCAGTTTCCTGTCACTTCTGGACCCTGCTCCCCTCTGGCTTTATGTTTCTCTCTGCCCGCTTTCCCCTCTCCTGCAGTCGCCCCTCTTTGGGATTTCTTCATTGTTCCAATGGCTGTCCTCTGAGGCCAGCTTTCGGGTGTGCGTTCCCTCCGCTGCCCCACCCCCACCTCGGTCTAGAGGTGGCTTATCGGAGTCTTCACTGTCACAATCATAAAGGCCCAGGCAGAAACTCCTGCCCCTGCCACTCAGTGTCCCACCGGGATCAAGAAACAGTGAAAGGCCATGAACCCTCGCTCCTCTTGCGGCTTTAAGAGTGGCAGGGAGGGTGGCCTGCTTGTGTGGGCTGGAGTTTCTGGATCTGTCTTAAGACAGAGGGATGGATGAGATGATCTCAGGAGGGCTCTGCCGGATGGAGGAGCGGGGAGCCTCCTCTCAATCATCATCAATTTAGATTTATTGGATGCCCCCCCAGGGGCTTGGCACTGTATTAAATGGTTCCCTCTATCCTTCAAGCCCCGAAATCCAGTTTCTGCCCTTTTAACACTGTTTAAAACATTGCATGATTGGGTTATGTTTTTCTTAACATATTATTAATTATTACAGAGTATGTTTTTAAAATTGAAACCATAGGACTTAGTAAGAGTGCTGGGATTTTCTTCACTTCTTTTAGTACCTTAAGGTCCTATAGGATTCGTCTGGGTATGGGAAGATTGGAGGCACACTGCACACTGGGGTGCGTGGGTAGGGATGCTGAGAAAGGGTCGAGCTGAAGGGGTTATCTCAGGAGGGCCAGAGAAACGGAACAGATGGAGAGAGGGAGAGAGCATGCATGCCTGTACTGGAAATAGCTACTTTTATTTTGTTAAATATTTATTAAATGCCTACTCTATGGGTAATTTTTAAGCTACCAAAGCTATAACTGTGAATAAAATACGATCGAAACCCGCATTTTGTGAAGTTTATATTCTAATAGGAAGAGACATAGTTTGCTTTTTCTTAATAAAGTGAATGAGGCTGACGTCACGCACATATTATGGCAGCAGATGAGTCCAAGAAGCATCCAAATTCTAAGAGGGCGACAAGGAAGAAGGGCCAGCCCAAAGGAGCCAGGGAGGAGAAATGTGGTGTCCCCGACGGAGACAGGGCTAGGGACAGGTGGGTACAGAAGACAGGAAAACCACCGGAAGAAGCAAGTTTGGTGGTAGAAAGGGCCCAGCTCTGGTCAGATCTGAGAGGCAGACTTGTGGGGGAGGGGCCGGGTAGGACCATGAAAGGGAAAATAAAGAGTGCTGTCCTGGAGGAGTCTGGAGATGGGGAGGAAGGGTTTCCTAGGCCAGCTGGGGTATCACAGTAAAGGTGAACTTTGGAGGGAGGTTGAGACTTCCATTTGGGACTTAAGAAGTGTGAGTCTGTGCAAATGAAAAAAAATGGTGTGAACAAGATCCCTCAGCAAGAAGAAGGAGGGTACCCATATCCTGAATCTTTAGCAAAAGATTTATTTGCTTTTATTCTGTTATTGTGTGTATATGAGTGTTGGCCTGCTTGTATGTCTGTGCACCACATGCATGCAGTGCTCATGGAGACCAGAAGAGGGCGTCAGATCCCTTGGAAATAGAGTTACAGGCGATTGTGAGACATGTGGCTGGGTCCTGGGACTAGAACACGGGTCCTCTGCAAGAGCAGCCAGAGCTCTTAACCACTGAGCCATTTCTCCAGCCCCCAGGCCTTAATCTTGCAGAAAAGAAAATGTTTGTGACTAGGGCTGAGGTAGTATTGACCCTTTTTCTAGACATCATGAGGCACCTGAATGGCAAAGCTTCTTATGGGAAGGTAAGGGGCAGTTTGGATCTTGGCTGGTCTGCTGCAAGCTGGGGTCGGGGCAGCATGAAGGTGCTGGCTGCAATAGTGAGGTTGGGGACATAGCCTCAGAGGATCCTGAGAAGGAGCAGGCCTGAAGGAACAGGTGTGGACTTTTGTTGACTCCAGGCCAAGTGGGGGGGGGCTACAAGGGAGAGCCATTCTTTTCTGCTCGCCTTCCGGGTGCTGTGCCTTTGTACAGCCCTGCTCTTACTCTGCATTCCCTGTACTGGGGATCCGTTTGCTGCGAGCTGTAGTCTCACCACTGAACACACCTAAAGGCTGTGGATGCCGTGTGGGTGACATGGGGGTTGTATTGCTCCTCTCATCCAGTCTACCTTCACTGAGCTCCTAAGTCATGGCTTCCTTGGGTTCTTTCCTTACTGATTGCTAGGCTGTCTTTTAAATTCCTACTGTTTTCTTTGGGCAGAAAATAAAGAACTTTGCAAAACTCAAACACACACACACACACAAATAGAGGAAATTACGTGTGGGGGGGGCGGGGAGAGGACAGCTTTTGAAAATTAGTTCTACCCTCTTGGCATGTGAGCCTCAGGGGCCCAACACAGGTCACCAGGCTGGGCAGCACCCATTATGCCGTCTCTCTGGCCCTCTACCTTAGTTTTCTGAGGCAGGGTCTCTCATTGAAACTAAAGCTTACTATTTTAGCTACACTGGTTACCAGGTAGCCCCGGGATCCATCTCTGCCCTGTGGCTGGGGGTACAGGTACCACAGCTGACCACATGTGGCTCTTTATGTTGGTGTTGCTGATCTATAGCCGGTCCCTCGTGCCTGGACAGCTAAGCTGTCTCCTCAACCCTAAAAAGCATTTGAAATGCGTTTGCAGTCATGACAAAGATACAATTAAAACCAGTGATTTAGATTTTAGAATTGAGTATAGATGAAAATACTTATATCCTGTGATAACACGGTCGGTCACCCACTAGGAGTCAAGATGTCATCCCACATTCCCTCCAGTCTTCCCTGCTGACGCCAGGCTCTCCTTATGGAGCCTCAAGAAGCCTCCATTGGTGTGCAGGCAGCCCCGGCAGGGGAGTCTGTGCAGGAGAGACCGTGGCTTGCTGAAATTAAGGATGAGCCCTAGAAAGTGACAGAGAGGAAGTTTGGTCACAGATAAGGAGGTGTCCCTGCCGGGAGCTTTCCCATAAGGGCAGTCTGGTTAAGAGCTGGAACCAGGTGGACCAGGAGATCCCATTCTCTGGCCTTGACAATTTCTTGGCTTCAGACTTGGAATGAGACCAAATGACTCTGCAGTTTCTGTCTTGACATAAGATTCTGTGACCTACATCTAGTATGTGTGTCTGGGGGACTGAAAGTCAGGATACCACTTGCTCTTGGGATTCCTGGGAGGGCATGGAAGCTATGTGTAGCTCTAGCTCCTTCCTGCCAGCTCCCACATTGCTTCCTCCTGGGACTGCTGGTCGGGGTTTGGAGGGTGGGTACCAGGTTTGGAGGAAGCTGGGAGGTGGTAGGGAGCATGAAATGGGGTGGTGGGAAAGTTGGGGGGGGGTCACTGTCATGTGTTGCCTCCCTGCTTTCCCATAGTGAAGTCTGCTGGTTAAAACCTTTCTTCCCATTCTCTGTTTCCCCTAACCCTTTCCCCGCGCCCCCCTTGGATGCCCATCCTGTCTCCCGACCCATGTCTTCCTCTCCGAATGTGTTTTCTATTGTCAATGACTCATTCCTGGCCATGCTTCCACGTGCCTCTCCTTCTCCATCCATTGGTTTCTCCACTCCACCCCCCACAGCAGAGGGGAAGGTGTACAGCTCAGATGAGGAGAAGTTGGAGGCCCCAGCAGGAGACCCAGCAGGAAGCGAGCAGGAGGAAGAGGGCTCAGGCGGTGACAGCGAGGACAGCTTCCTGGACAGTTCTGCAGGGGGCCCAGGGGCTCTTCTGGGACCTAAACCGAAGCTAAAGGGAAACCTGGGGACTGGCGCTGAGGAGGGGGCACCAGTGGCCACAGGGGTCACCACCCCTGGGGGGAAAAGCCGAAGGCGGCGTACAGCCTTCACCAGCGAGCAGCTTCTGGAGCTGGAGAAGGAGTTTCACTGCAAGAAATACCTGAGCCTGACAGAACGCTCCCAGATCGCCCACGCCCTCAAGCTCAGTGAGGTGCAGGTTAAGATCTGGTTTCAGAACCGCCGGGCCAAGTGGAAGCGCATCAAGGCTGGCAATGTGAGCAGCCGTTCTGGGGAGCCCGTGAGAAACCCCAAGATTGTGGTGCCCATACCTGTGCATGTCAACAGGTTTGCTGTGCGCAGCCAGCACCAACAGATGGAGCAGGGAGCCCGGCCCTGACGGGGCTCCTGGGGTCCGGAAGGCAAAGGATCTGCACCTGTCCTTGCCCAAGACTCACTGGGTGCTGCCCACTAGAGGGGCCTCGTGGACCCTGCTCCGGGAGAGGTCAGCTGTGCTCCCTGGATTGCAGACATGAGTGTTTGGCCTGGGACTGTTCTGGACCTAGGAGTCTCAGGGGTGCAGGGTTCAAATTCTGATCCCCGAGAGCTTCTGGAGCAGAAGTGGACTCCTGAGGTGGGGATACGAAATGCCCAGGACCTAGAGGGTTCCATGGCTAAGGCCCGTGGGAGCAGCTTCTAACAGATGGGAGAAGTCCTGGGCGGTACCAGCCTGGGGCCACAGTTCCTTATTTATTTTGTGTAAAGTTTGTATATATGAAACTATTTTATCTTTGTCTGTACTCCGAAGGGGACTGGGACAATTGTTTCCCTGAGCCTCACCCAGTGTGTCCTACCCTACCGCTCTGTGAAGGCGCTATTGTGCTGTTCAGTATAAGGACATGCAAAGACATGAGATGGAACTGTAATGGCCAAAGTGGGGGGGTTCTTCAGCAGCCCCCTCTTCCACTCTTAAGCATCCCTCCACAGTGCATCCTGCCCCCACCCCACCCTCCTGTTCCCATTGGCTACTTTGTCCCCACTTTCCCAATCTTTCTGCTCCTGGTGTCTTCTCTTCGGGAGAGGTGGCACACTTTGGGGAGAGACTCAATTCAGTTTGCACTGAAGGGAGATCCCACTTTAACTTGGAGAATGTCCAGGTCACCTACATAGAGGACACTGTCCTGTCAGTGACTAGGGCAGGACAGGAGGCTCACCCCACCATGTGAGCTAGATAAAGAAGTGCTTCCTTTACAGAGGGCACAGCTTCATCTCTGCCTTCATTGCTATCTCACACACAGGACCAGGGGCAGAGGCCCAGTGCTTCTCCGCTCTTGCAATCTTAGCTGTGCTTTCTCCTGTCCATTACATCTGGAAGGGTTAGGCTCCCATCAGCCTCTTCTATTACAGAGCAAGATGGGTTGAAAGAAGCCACTGCCGAACTGATAGGACAAGAGTGAGTCCAGGATGGTTCTGGAAGGGTACGGGCAGAGATGATGGGTGGACAAATCGCAGGAGCAGGGCTCTAGATATCTGCAGACATTGGGGCAAGGAGACTGTTAAGAGAAACGCACTGCGGCGACTGCTGGGGTAACGAGCTTTTGGGGGAAAGATGTGACCTGTATGGATTAGGGAGAGTGGAAAACAGAAAAATGAACAAGCTGGATCAGGCAGTTGTCAACGACAGGGAGGAGTCCTGCCTTACAGGCTCATCTGGCCACAGGTGAGCCCCAGAGTGGCAAAGGTGTCAGTTTCACGTTCAGGTACGTAGTGAATACTTCTATGAGACCAAGACAGTCTGTCCTTGGTAGTTCATCTCTCCCAAGCAATTCTCTAGTGAGAACATAGATCTAGACTAAGGTTGTCTCTTTCTCTGGTCCTTGGAAATTTAACTCCAGTAAGGTGTGGGAATTTAACCTTGAACACGCAGTCCAGGTCCAGCTCATTCCCAGCCAGGTGGACCTCAAAGTCAAGAGACTTGGATCCCTTATACTTGATCTACACAGAAGTCAACATAGGTTAAGCTGTTGCCTCTCCAGCAGAGCTGGATGGAGTCCAGGTTCTGAGAGGGCAAGTGACCACCATCCAGGCTTCTGGCTCTTCATACAGCTTCAACTGTGCTAAGCATGGAGCCAGCCCAAGCAGCTTGTCTAGCGAGTCTGGAGCTAGCCCATCCTGTGTCCGGGAACCGAGTCCTGTACCTACTTATGGCACTGTTCAGATTCTGCCATGTAAGACTCTTAACAGACTTGAAATGTGGGGATGTGAATGAAAACAATAAAATCTGGTTTCCTCTCAACAGCGTTACTCGATTATTAACCGACATGTGGGCTAAGTGCACAGGCAGAGCAGCAGTCCATCACCTGTTCAAGATGTTTCAGAAAATATGGGCCACTAGCAAGATTGGTTCCAGGGATAGGAAACAGATCCAGCACTGAAACTCAGTCAATTCTCATCCATCATAAACTAGAAGGGAGGCCTTTCCCCAGGGTTTCTTTCAAGAATAAAGGGACACGGCAGAAAGAGAAGGGGATCTGGGCTCTGCTTCCAGCTTAGCTTGGGAAAGGTTAACCTTAGAGTGCAGCTGGAGGTCACGGTGGCTCCTGGCCCTGCCCTCCCTTCTCCTCGAAAGGTATGGGCCAGCCACTTTATCACACAGCTGTTCTCGTCACTCTGGGAGAGCCTCCTCACAGCCCTGGATGCAAACCCTCAACACTGGCCACAGCGGTGTTGGAGTCTCTCTGGAAGAAGTAGAGGCTATGCCGCTGCACACTGGCCAGTGCAGGGCGTGGTGACTACACAGAACGCCGACGACAGCAGAGATCACTGGGAGTTTTCAGGAGTGGGCGGTGAGGGGACAAGGTGGCACAAAGCAGAAAGTAGAGCCGATCTCCTCTGTCATGGGCAGGTTTGCTCTGTCAACTTCCCCCGTCCAGGAAGGCCGAAAGAACTGACAGGAGGAGGTAACAAAGGAGAGCAGGGGCCATAAATCTCAAAACAAACCACAAAAGCAGAAAGTGGAGGAGAAGGTCACTCTTGGAAGGTCAGGAAACTGAGCACAGAGAAATGACGCCACACATACAGCCTGGTTTATTGGCTCATCATACACACGCCACATATATACACAAACATAAATACTCCAATGTACAAATTTTACATGGGACTCACAGACTGGCCCCCTGGTCTCTCATCTGGCACCCCCATTCTGTGTCCTGTCCTTCCCCACCCATTGCAGGGTGAAGGCTTGTGGGAGCTGTCACGAGGAGGCAGGGTTCTGGAGGAGGGAGAGGTCCTGCCCCACTCTCCTCACAGGTACCTCCCAAGGGTTCTGTCCCTTAACGGCACCGTAGGGCGAAGGGCTGCACAGCACACTCCTGTTCTCTGTTGCAGCTCAGATCCCAAACCTCTCCTCCATCCCTGGACCCTTCTCCTTTCCTCTTCTTCACTGCGCATCCCTGCTTCTCCATCTCTGTGTCCTCCAGGCCATGGAGTCCTTCTGGTCCCTCTGCCCTCTTCCTGAGCTTCATAGGAGACTAGGGCTGCGGTGCAGCTCTGCAGAGGAATTGGTGCCATTGGCAGGCTCTCTGTTGGGAGTGGGTGCTAACCCACAGCCCTCCACAGGGCACCCATGCTGAATCAAGATGTCCGCACATTCCTGGCTGCCGGCGCGGCGGGCATAGGCCAGTGGAGTCAGACCCCGGGCATCGCGGCTCCTCACATCCACCCCGTACTGCAGGAGAAAGCATATTCACAGTTGGCATATGTGCAAGAAAAGGCCTCAGCTCTCAGGGAAGGGGAGAGGCAGTTTCTGAAGGCTCAGAAGGGGGGACCTGGACAGGCCAGGGGTACCCAGACTCACCCAGATGAGCAGCTGTGTAAAAACCACATTGGCCATGGCACTGGACAGGTGCAGGGCTGTCCTCCCATCACCATCCCCGTATGTCTCGTTCACCTCCTCCTTGGACCCATGGGCTAGCAGCATCACCAACAGCCGCAGGTCATCCTCCACCACAGCCCGGAGTAACTGCTGCCCCAGTGGCACATCTGAACTTGGCAGCGGGGCCAGGAAGAGCTTCTGTTCATACTTGGCCCGGATCCAGCGCTCCTTTTCCTCTCTAGAAGCACAGGCCCATCAAGGCATGAGGCAATGAAGGAAGCAGGCATTTAGGCAGGGACTAGGGAGGACCACTGCAACAATGAGAATGAAGGCAGAGAGGAGCCCAGGGAGCCCAGGGCCCTCAGAGGGGCAACAGGTCACATAAATAGGATGGTATTGAGGTCACATAAATAGGATGGTATTGAGTAGGGACACTGAAAGGAGACCTCTGGGGCCAGTAGGGATATGAGGGCAGAGAGGGCAGGAAGATTCCAAGCAGGCCTGAGTGGCAGCTTATCAAGCCGTCTGAACTCTTTGCAATTGGTAGCACTGGAACAAAGCAGGTGATAGCCTGAGAGGGGGCCATGGCCACCCTATCTACCACCCATTCTCCCCATCTCAGCATGCAGGCTTGCACGCAGGAGACGCACAGTGATATGGGTCCTGCGCATGCGCCTCCAGCTGGCCCCTGACCTACCGATAACAGCTCAGAAAAGGCCCTGTTGTTGTGAGACGCCTGAGTGACAGGTACCAGCAGGGGAGCGACACCCCCAGAGGCCAACCGTCAAGCAGAGCAACAGTGTTTTAACCCTTCTAATACTACCAGTGCTATAGGTTCTACCCACCACCACCCCCTGCCCCCAGTGGGGGCCTGGCTGTCTCCTTCCTGGGTACTAGCTTACCTGCAGGCTTCGGGGCCTGGCTTCGAGTAGCCATCCAGAGCCCCCTCCCAGACACTGTTAGCCAAAGCATTGCCCATTGCAGTCATGACAGCTAGCAGTTCGGGTGGCCAGTCATCAAGGTCCAAGGAGCGGACCCGGGACAGGTGAGCCCCCAAGTGTCGGTGGATCCCTGAACACTCGATACACATCAGGGCGCCCAGATTCAGGCTGGCCCAGTCTGGATCTATGTGGGCAGAGGGAGAAAGATACAGCAGGTGGCACCCAGAGAGAGGGCCCTTGAGGAAGGTCATCCCTTCTGCATACTGTCCACCACCCCTTGCCACTAGAACCCTAGACACCCAGCTCCCAGATCTATTGTCCTTGTACTCACTGGGGGCTTCACAGTCAATACAGAAGCTGTTGCCACGGACCGTGCGGACAGCCTGCACAGCCAGAGCTGTGTTCTGGTTCCCCAGCCGAGTCTGCCATGAGGCAGGAGAGATAAGGATAGTCGATCAGTCCCAAGTCCCCTCCCTGGCTCTCACCCAGCCAGGCTCTCCAAGCAGGCTCTACCACCCCATGCCAACCTTGTCCTTGGCGCTGCGACAGCCCTGTAGGCTGGCGAGGATTTGGGCCTGCACACTCTGCACCCACAGCTCCCGTTCTTCTGCCGTCGAGGCCTCAAAGTGCCAGGTCTGACCGGTGAGGGACACCACCACAAACTCAAAGGACTCCTCTGCCTCTGGGGAGAGGACGTTTACATTATTAGGGCTCTTTGCCAGCACACACACCCAGAGGCATACCAT